TCCCCAAGACAACCAAAGTCTTGTTTTGACATCTAGAGCCGCCGCCGCCCACGGGTCTTCCAGGAAGCATCTGCAGATACGTAAACATATACTTGTGCATACACATGTACATGTACATACACATCAGCATGTGTATATATATATATATATATATATATGCATATACATGTCAGCCAGCGTTGACTCCAAATAGATAGGAGGTCAGGAAGAGGACGAGAGAAGGATGAGAGGAGGACGAAAGGAGGACGGGAGAAGGACGGGAGCAGCAACATCAAACAAGCGCAAGCAAGCAAGCGGAAGCTCGCAAGCGCAAGCGAGCAACAACAAGCGAGCAAGAGCCAGCGATCAAGTGCAAGCAAGAACAGGGCAAGCAAGAGCAAGCAAGCGATAGCCAGCACGCAAGAGCAAGCAAGCAAGAACACGAAAGAGCAAGCAAGGGCAAGCGACTCATAGGAATCCATAGGATTCATAGGACTCGCCATTGCAAATAGTGCCATTGGAAGTAAGGGGGGTGCCATTGGCGAAAGGGGGGGGGAAGGGGGTGCCATAGGAATTAGGGCGGGCATAGGAATTAGGGGGGTGGGGGGCAACGAACCAAGTAGTAGGGTTTGAGTTAGAACTCCTATAGGGCAAGCCGATTTGGAGAATCGAATAAGAACTATACATAGAACTACACGTATACATACATACACACATGCATCTACGTTCAAGCAGACATATAACTATACTTATCCATTCTCGTATACATCTATATATGTATACATGCACACGCCCATATACATATCAATATACGTATACATGCAAACCTACACATGTCTATCATATACAAATACGTATGCGTATACATATGCACATTTACATTCTTATACACATGCACATGCATGGCCATACACACATACAGTACACATGATCCAGTTTACACACGCATGCCCACACACATAACCATATATATACCGATCCATGCATATGTATATACACATATCTACGCACGTACCCATACATGCACATATACACGCACATGCATATGTACATAGATTGTACGTCTGCTTATACCCATACATATGCATCCGTAACTGTTCATGTACGTGCACATATATACATCCACATACACATTTACATGCACACATACATACACATATACATCTACTATACATACACCTATAGACGACGACGACTTCTTGGCCAATCCTCATGTCGCTGTGGGATGGCCTCAGAAAGTCTTGGAAGTCACTTGGGCCGTTGGCGTCTTTCTTGGGTGCCCCAGAGGGATTGGTCACAAAATAGAAATCTTTCAAGTTCGACCGTGAAGCCTAGCTAGAACCTAAGCGCGAGAAGCGTGCGCTATAGATACATATATAGATTGCGTGTGCGTGCGTATCCCAGCGGGGACCCCCGGCGCGAACATGCGCGGCATGCTCTTTCAATGCGGGCCCGGCTCCCAGGCCTGGGCCCGTTCCTGTGAACGCGCGGCCCTCCCCCCTCGCCTTCGTCCTCGCCGTAATCGTCGTCGTCGTCGTCGTCGTCGTCGTCGTCGTCGTCGTCGTCTTTCTCCTCCTGCTCCTCCTCCTCCTCCTCCTCCACTACCCCCTGGTATCTGGAGGTCTTTGACTGCCTCCCCCCCACGGGCAGCCGCCTTCCTCGTCGAGGGGCCTGGCGGAAGCTGGCCGCCCTTGCCCGCCGCCGCTCCTCTCTCCTCCCGCTCGCCATCGCTCGGACGTTCATTTTTCGTGTTTTTTTAGGTTTCGTGCGTGGTTTTTTCGCCAAGTGGTCAAGGATGTTCCTCGATGGCCCTCGCCGAAGAAAAAAACGCACACGTCCGAGCGATGCCAAGCCCGGCTGCCGCTCCCTCCCCCCACCCCCGCGAGCGCCGATCGTGCCCCTGCTGGCTTCCGGGCCGCAGCTCGGGCCTCCGGCCGCTCGGGCGCCCCCCAAACTTTAACCACCCCCGGCGAGGCGCAGCCGCCGGAGAGCACCCCGCGGCGGGGACCCACACCCACGCCCAGCCCACGCCCACGCCCCGCAAAACGCCCACGCCCACGCCGACGCCCACGCCCACGCCCACGCCCCGCAGAACGCCCACGCCCCCACGCCGACGCCCACGGCCAAGCCGCCGAGGGCCGGCGGAAGCGCTCGAGGACCACCTCGAGCCTCGAGCTCGCCGAGTTCCTCCTCGGTGGCCCCCCTTGGAGCCTGGTGCCCCCCACCGCCCTCTCCCAGGACGGCGGGGCCTGCGGGGTCGCGGTCCTTCGGGGGTTCAAAGATGGGGCGCTTGGGGGATGGAGCCGTGGGGGTAGGAGAGGGATCCCAGGGTGACTCTCCACTGCTTGAGATCCCTCATCCTGAGGGCCTCATCCCCAGACGTCCACGTCGTGCTATTTTTCAATGCGAGGCCACCGGAAGTCCCGACCCTTGCCCCAAGGCCGGTGTTTCATCCCGAGTCCCAAGGCCCTGCGAGCGCCCCTGGAAGCCGAAACCTGCCACAAATCGCCAGTCGTGATCTGACGACGACGACGGCGACGGCGACGGCGACGGCGACGGCGACGACGACGACGACGACGACGTTGGTTTTCGGATCATAGCTCGGGTCTTCGGCGGCCGTTCGGAACGATCTGGGCACCCCCAGAACGCCCTCGGCGAGGCGAAGCCGCTGAAAGGCATCCCGAGGCTGGAAAACCGCCGAAGACTGCCACAAACCATAACAAACCTCCCGTCGTGTTTTCCTCACGACGCGAACATGTCTGTGCCCCTCAGGGCCCCCTGTTTGAGCCGCCAGGTCCTGCTGCATGCGCCTGAGGGGCAACGTTAGGGGGGACCCGCTCAGCGGGGGAAATATGGACCTGGAATCGTCGATACGTCGCCGATAGATCGGCGATAGGACCCCGACAGCGAATCCGCAAATTCCTGGGCGGGCTGGGCTGTTGGGCCGCTATCGGCGATGAATGGGCGATTGGGGGTCGATGCGTCCCCCCAATCATCCTCGTCCTCCAGTTTTCAGTCATCCTCGTCCTCCAATTTTGGGGGTCGATGCGTCCCCCCCGAATCATCCTCGTCCTCCAGCTTTCAGTCATCCTCGTCCTCCAATTTTGGGGGTCGATGCATCCCCCCCGAATCATCCTCGTCCTCCAGCTTTCAGTCATCCTCGTCCTCCAATTTTGGGGGTCGATGCCTCCCCCCCGAATCATCCTCGTCCTCCAGCTTTCAGTCATCCTTGTCCTCCAATTGTCGAGTCGTGACCAGACTCTCTGGCGGCCGTCCGGCACCATCCCGGCACTCCTAGGCGCCCTCGACGGGGCGCGGCTGATGGAAACCATCTCGGGCCCCGAATCCTTCCCCACAGCTTTCGAAACCTGCCCCCCCCCCCCGCGCCCGAGCCCGCCTCCCCTTGAGCAGGGACCGACCGTCCCGGCATTCCTAGAGTCATACCACGGAATGCTCTTAGAACCCAAACATGTTAAGAACAACAACCATGTTCTTAGAACAGAAGCCCGATGTGTTAAAACAAGACAGCCCCAGCCAGAAAGGTTCTGAGAACAGTTCGTGGGAACCACCAGAGGCTCTTAGAACCTTTGTTTGGTGGGGCTGTAGGCGAGTCGGGACGCCTCGCCACTGCTTGATCCCCGCCCCACGTTGCCCCTGCGCCTCATGAACGATAGCTGGCTGCCGCCCATCCTCGCGAAGCTCTGGCACTCCTAGGCGCCCTCGACGAGGCGCAGCTGATGGAAATCACCGCGGGCCTCGAAGCCTTCCCCACAACTTTCGAAACCTGCCCCCCCCCCTCCCCGAGCCCGCCTCCCCCTGAGCAAGGACCGCCCGTCCTGGCATTCATATAGTCATACCACGGAACGTTCTTAGAACCCAAAAATGTTCTAATAACAAAAACAATGTTCTTAGAACAGTCCCAGCCAGAAAGGTTCTAAGAACATTTCGTGGGAGCCACAATAGAGGTTCTTAGAACCTTTGTTTGGTGGGGCTGTAGGCGAGCCAGGAAGCTTCGCCACTGCTTGATCCCCCCCCCAACGCCCTCGACGAGGCGCAGCTGATGGATCATCTCGGCACTCCTAGGCGCCCTCGACGGGGCGCGGCTGATGGAAATCACCTCGGGCCTCGAAGCCTTCCCCACCGCTTTCGAAACCTGCCCCCCCCGAGCCCGCCTCCCCGGTCCCCCCCCCCCAGAACGCCCTCGGCGAGGCGAAGCCGCTGGAAGCCATCCCGAGGCTGGAAAACCGCCGAATACTGCCACAAACCATCACCAACCTCCCGTCGTGTTTGCCTCACGACGCGAACATGTCTGTGCCCCTCAGGGCCCCCTCTTTGAGCCGCCAGGTCCTGCTGCATGCGCCTGAGGGGCAACGTTAGGGGGGACCCGCTCAGCGGGGGAAATATGGACCTGGAATCGTCGATACGTCGCCGATAGATCGGCGATAGGACCCCGACAGCGAATCCGCAAATTCCTGGGCGGGCTGGGCTGTTGGGCCGCTATCGGCGATGAATGGGCGATTGGGGGTCGATGCGTCCCCCCCGAATCATCCTCGTCCTCCAGTTTTCAGTCATCCTCGTCCTCCAATTTTGGGGGTCGATGCATCCCCCCCGAATCATCCTCGTCCTCCAGCTTTCAGTCATCCTCGTCCTCCAATTTTGGGGGTCGATGCATCCCCCCCGAATCATCCTCGTCCTCCAGCTTTCAGTCACCCTCGTCCTCCAATTGTCGAGTCGTGACCAGACTCTCTGGCGGCCGTCCGGCACCATCCCGGCACTCCTAGGCGCCCTCGACGGGGCGCAGCTGATGGAAACCATCTCGGGCCCCGAATCCCTCCCCACAGCTTTCGAAACCTGCCCCCCCCCCCCGCCCGAGCCCGCCTCCCCTTGAGCAGGGACCGACCGTCCCGGCATTCCTAGAGTCATACCACGGAATGTCCTTAGAACCCAAACATGTTAAGAACAACAATGTCATCCAGTTTTCAGTCATCCTCGTCCGAGCCCGCCTCCCCCCCCAACGTTGCCCCTGCGCCTCATGAACGACAGCTGGCTGCCGCCCATCCTCGCGAAGCTCCGGCGCGCGGGGGCGCGGCGCGGCTCGGAGGGCGCAGCGCGGCCGGCTCGGCCTCTCCGGCATCGGGGGGGGGGGCGGAGCACCGCAGAGCGCAGCTGGGGGCCAGGCTGGGCCCCTCCTCCTCCTCCCCCTCCCCCCCCCCCCTCCTCCTCCTCCTCCTCTCCTCCCTCCTCCTCCTCCTCCTCCTCCTCCTCCTCCTCCTCCTCCTCCTCTCCTCCCTCCTCCTCCTCCTCCTACTCTCCTCCTCCTCCTCTCCTCCTCCCTCCTCTCCTCCTCCTCCTCCTCCTCCTCCTCCTCCTCCTCCTCCTCCTACCTCCTCCTCCTCCCTCCTCCTCCTCCTCCTCCTCCTCCTCCTCCTCCTCCTCCTCCACCTCCTCCTCCTCCTCCTCCTCCCTCCTCTTCTCCGACTCCTCCTCCTCCTCCTCCTCTCCGGGATGGGCGCGGGGGTGTGCCGCGGGGACGGGGGGGGGGGCTGGGCTGTCACTGGATGCCAACCGACCTAGCTTGCGCGTGGGCTACGAGTGCTCTCGAGTGGTTCAGGGGGTTCGACACCGCCCGGGCCAGTAAGCCACTCGAGCCACTTGGGGCACTTGTGAATTGTGACCCGCTCACCCGCTAGGTCAGGCCAGACACAACCCACCTTAGCATCGGCTGATAACCCCCCTATCCCCTCAGCACCCCCCCGCGCTGGGTCGTCCTCGTCGCCGTCGTCGTCTTTTGCTCCTCCTCCTCCTCCTCCTCCTCCTCCTCCTCCTCCTCCTCCTCCTCCTCCTCCTCCTCCTCCTCCTCCTCCTCCTCTTCCTCCTCTAGGGAAACAAAAAGTGGAACAAAAAGTGGCATAAACATAAAAACTCGGAGGTCCGCGCGGATTTCTCGGATCGGCGCTGGGGCCCCCTGGGGCGGCGCCGCGGACCTCCGAGTTGTTCTGTTTATGCGTTTGTTCGTTCCCCTCTCCTCCTCCTCCCTTTCGCGAACTTCCCCTCCTCCTCCTCCTCCTCCTCCTCCTCCTCCTCCTCCTCCTCCTCCTCCTCCTCATCCTCCTCCTCCTCCTCCTCCTCCTCCTCCTCCCTTTCGCGAACTTCCCCCCCCCCCCTGAGCCTTGCTCCGCCTCGGCGGACAGCGGCGCGGTGGCCTCTTCGGCCGCGCCCCGGGGGGCGATGCGGACGCGCCCGGCGGCTCGGCCCTCGAAGACGTCGCGCGGCGTGATGCGCTGCGCCCCGCCGGCGGCCGGCAGCGCCACGACGCCGCCTGGGCTGCCCCGCCCCGTGGGCGATCCGTGGGAGCCCATCTTCCTATTATTATTCTTCTTCTTATTATTATTATTCTTATTATTATCATTTTTCTTATTTTACTTATTCTTCTTCTTCTTCTCCACCTCCTCCTCCTCCTCGTCCTCCTTTTTCTCCTCCTCACCTTCCTCCTTTTCCTCCTCCTCCTCCTTCTCCTCGTCCGTCGTCTGCTCCTCCTCCTCCTCCGCCGTTTCCGCCGCCGTCTCCTCCTCCTCCTCCTCCTCCTCCTCCTCCTCCTCCGCCCCTGCTGGGCCAGAAAAGAAACGACACCATCCCACCTGCGGCCCCAAGGGGTGCCCCTGCTGGGCCAGGAAACAAACGACACCATCCCACCTGCGGCCCCAAGGGGTTCAGCGTGTGCCAAGGGATCTGGCGTGGGCTTCTGCGCGGTGTGCGCTGCGGCCCTCGATGGGGCGGCAGCGTAACACGGAGGGCCGTGAGTGGGGCGGTGTCGTTTGGTTTGGGGTCGACCTGCACGCCTGTGCGACCACAGGACCCTGAGAACCTGCACTCGCACTTTTGGTTTGGTGTTGGGGTCGACCTGCACGTCTGCGCGACCACAGGGCCCCGAGAACCTGCACTCGCACTTCTGTCACAACGGGCGACCCTGCTCTGTCTCGGGCCCCAGGCCCCCCACGGATCGACCAGCACGAAGACGGGGTCCAGGGCCCTGGTCGAGTTGTTCTACGATAGGTTCGCGTCGTGTCGACCTTCGTCGACCCCGCCCGCGGCGTTCAACGTTGAACGCCGGCGGCGACCCAGAATCGGTCGATGTTGAACGATTGGACGTTGCGGGAACGGCCGATCGTTTAAGGTTGAACAATCCACGCGGTGTCAGAAACCAACGCCAGGGTCGTCACGACGCGAACCTCCCGTACGATGTTGTACCTTTCCCGCGGCGATAGGAAGCCCTGCTATCTGGGGGCGCATTATTGGTCGATCTTTGCTGGTCCTAAGGCGCCCCAGAGCCTCTGTGGGCCCCCAGGGCCGTCGACGAGAATCCGCCGACCCCCGCTTGCCAGGGGTGAGAAGGCGTGTGAGATAATTGGCTGTCCCCCTGCCTTGGGCGCCCGAGTTATCCGGGGTAACTCGGGTCCGGGGTAAGTCGGGTTTGGATTCCCGAGAAACGGAACCCGGGTTAGCCCTGACCCGAATTACCCCTGATGATTCGGGGCTCTGGACGCCCGAGTTATCCGGGGTAACTCGGGTCCGGGGTAACTCGGGTTTGGATTCCCGAGGAACGAACCCGAGTTATCCCTGACCCGAGTTACCCCTGATGATTCGGGGCTCTGACTGCCCCCTTCCCACTCTCCTGGAGTCCACACTGCCGTTCGAGGGGGGCGAGGGGGGGGGGAGAGCGGGGATGAGCTCGTCAACGCGCACCGGGGGCCTCCTGCGGCCTCTGGAGCCTCGAAATCTACACTCCGCGGGCTCCATGATGCATGCCATCGAAGCTGGCTCAAGCTGGGTTCGAACACGCCGAGGGGGCCTCACAAACATCCACTATGGTTTCAAGACGGCCCAAGAAGGCTCCAAGACGCCCCAAGATGGCTCCAAGAGGACCCCAAACGGGCCCCAAGAAGCAAAACACATCCCATTCCCAAGGGAAAAACGCGCATTTCTAGTAGATTCGCTCTAAATATTCGCTTTGTTGCTCTGTTCAGCGTCCAAGACGGCTCAAGAAGCCCCCGAGCTTGCTCCATGATGGCCCAAGCAGCCCCCGATAGGGCCCCAAGACTGCCCAAGAGGGCCACAAGACGGCCTGAGAGGCGCCTAAGACGGCCCACGGGGGCCTCAACATGGCTCAAGAGGGGCCCAAGAGGTGTAACTGAAACTGAAATCCCACCAGCCCTCTGGGCGTAGGTGGTCTAGAGCAGATCCTCTTCCACCCCTCCCTCTTCCCCCTTGGGGAGGGGTTTACCCCTCCCCCTACCCCCTCCCCTGGACCTGGACGGGGGGGGCCGCGGGTAGTTAGAGCGTCCCAGATGGCCCAAGACGGCTCCAAGAGCGCCTCAGAGAACCCAAGATGAGCTCCAAGATGGCTCAAGATAGCGCAAGATCGCTCGAGATGGCTCCTAAGATGGTTCCAAGAAGCCCAAAGACGGCCCCAAGATAACTCCAAGTGGCCAAACAGCTCCCCAAGGAGGCCCCGAAGAGGCCAAAATCGTCCCAAAACCTAAGGAAAATCAATGATTTTTGCTTTCTCGCCTTTTCGCTTCCGATGGCCATCCGAGGCCTGGAGATGGTTCCAAGATGGCCCAAGAGGGCCCCAAGAGAGCCCCAAAAGAGCCCCAAGACGGCCCCAAGAGCGCCCAAGAGCACTCCAAGAGCGTTCCAAGAGGGGTCCAAGAGGCGATTTTAGGGGCTTCCGAGGGGGGACGCTAATTAAACCCCCCCTCTTGTTTGATCGATCTCCTCCAAGATGGCCCCAAGAAGCGCCCAGGAAGCCCCAAGAGGTCCCAAGATGGCCCCAAAATGGCCCCAAGAGGCCCCCAAGAGGCCCCCCGGAGGCCCCCAAGAGACCCCCAAGAGGCCCCAAGAGCCCCCCCAGATGCACCCAAGATGCTCCAAGAGGCCTCGGCGAGAATGCCTAATCATTGATTCTACACAGGTTTTAGCCACATGGAGGCCTCTTGGGGGGGGGCACGGATTAAGATGACTCCAAGAGCGTCTGGGAGAGCCCAAAATGACCTCCAAGATGGCTCAAGATATCCCAAGATGTCTCATAATGGCTTCCTCTGTGTGCTTCCCACTTCTCTGATCGAGGCAATTCCTCTGGGCATCGTTTCTGGATGGGCTGGTGGGGATTCGCGAAGCGACAACAATTTCGAAACCTCCTCCTCCAAAGGGCCTCTGAGACCGCCAGCAGGTGCATGAGAACCTCCCCGAAGCCCCCAAGAGGCCCCAAAAGAACCCCCCCTGAGGCTCCCACACGTTTTCCAAAAGGCCCCCCAAAAGCCTCACCGTGGACTTCCTCACTCTTCGGAGGGTCGGCGGAATGGCGCAAGCCTCCAGGATAACCTTCTGCGGGGCACGTGTTGGCAGGCCGGTGTCTTCTCTGACACGCCTATCCCGTGGGCGATCTGTGGGAGCCCCTGCATGCCTGTGCGACCTCAGGAACTCTAGGGCAGTGGCGCCAGACTCTCCTACGGCAGTCGGGAGGGGCGACAGGGTAGGATAGCAAACGGTAGGCTAGACAATCAGCTTCCGCAGCTGGTCTTCCTAGAGCCTCACGGCGCCGGGAGGCGCCCATGTATTGAGGAATGGGCCTGGCGGGGCGGAAACCAGCTGCAAGCAATCGATTTCGTACCCCCCCCATTTCCCCTCTGGGATCTACTGGCCCGGGTCAACCCAGACCCGGGTCAGGCAGGCCTTGCAGGATGCTGCAACATCCTGCAAGATCCGGCAGGATCCTGCGCCCAAGCCCGGGTCAGTGCAACCCTGGCCCTGCAGGACCCTGCAAGATCCGGCGCTGTGACAGACCCCCGTTGGCATTGACCCCTGTCCTCTGAGCCCCGATGCCCTACCCTACCCCTTCGTCTGGCCCGAGACAGGCTCGTGAGTATCGTGGCGACTTGCGCGTGGGTTTCTGACACCGCGCGGGTCGCTCTACCTTGGACGATCGTGGCCCTCTCATGGCGCGGATCGTTCGGCGCAGGCC